TGCTTACGTTTGGGATTTCTTTGAATTCGCGCCTTCACAGCTTTTATCACTGCTGGAGTCCTAACAGACCGAGGGCGACCACTTCTTGACCTGTCATCTACACTAGAGTCTTCATTGTATCGTTTGATGGTACGATAAACGAATCTTTTGGTTATATTCAAATTTTTCAGTATGTTAAAAATTTGAATTGGCGCGTAACCGCAACGATGCAACGCAATAACTGCAACACGGTCTTCTTTAAGCGTCCACTCCATATTTAAAAATGAGTAAAATTCTAAAAGTATACATTTTTATTTTCATGAACAATTCGAAATTCGAATTCAATAAACTTTTTTGTGGCCAGCATTCTAAAAGAAAAGTTTTTACTGTGTGACAATACTTATGACCTGATTAATACGTGAAGCAAAAACTTTGTATCCCTTTTTACGAAAATTGCGCGGACGGAGGAGTATGAATTTTTCCACACTTATAGAGAATATAGAGAAGAAGTGCACAATGCTATTTTTTTTTTTTAAATAAAGCATAAAAGAAACAGTAAATCAATAAAGAAAACATTACACACACTACATACCATGTATTTGACGAACGCAAGCATGCATACTATTTATTGTCAAACTTTTGTTCTTGACGTCTGTGGTCAAATTGAGAATAGATTAAATATTGTTTGCCTTTGTTAATATTGTTATAGTGTAGTCTTGGCGAAATTTGTGATTATAGAAGTATAAAATACAATCATAATAGTGTACAAACTTACAATTCCAATTAATTATAGTCGAATTTCGACTACTGCGCGACCTCTAGTATCATTAATTACATATTTTTTGTCGACATTCGTAAATCTTTTATCATTTTAATCTTGATGGAACTGGAATAAAAGCATTCTAAAATCGTTTAATTTATCACAAAGTAAAAGTATGAACGTGCTTCGTAAACATATAAGAATGTTCGTACATGAGAAATTTTCTAATAAGGTAATAAACCGACCTCTTATTAGATCGAGAATTGCTTTGTTTGGTTAACTAGAATGCGAACTTCAGTCTCTCAGGAAAATAATAGGCCTATAATGTATACTTATTCTCTTTAAAGGTAAAATCGCTGTTTATTTAGCTCGCCGTTAATTTACGAGGTAGGTATTTTAAAGAACCGGCAAGGAAAACCTTTTTTTTTTTTTATGATTGAAGGATTACTTGTGGCCCGGAGGCCTTTCCAGTTTCACCAGGACAGGTGGGCGAGCAAAGGCTCAGCCAGGAGGGGTGGGATTTGCTAGCAGCTACCCGAGCGCCTCCGAAGGAGACCTAACAGCTCAAGAGCAGCTGCTTCGCGAATGAATCTACTACCGGATCGGAATCGCGACCCGCTGAGAAGATCCGGCGAGAAACTCAGCGAGCTGATTCATGGGTTAGGTTGCACGGCGAACTCTTTGTCGAGTTCGACGAGTACGGTTACCGGGGTCCCTAAGCCTGCTCCTAGTGTTAGAGCTGAAGGCGTCTAATGCAAAGGTTATTGGATCTGATGGATCCGTAAGGACGTCTCTAGGGCGTCGACGGTGACAAGGAAAACCAAGAACTAACCACTACCATAGTGTACAGTAAAACCTCCTTATTCGCGCTTCCTTCATTCGTGTTTTCACTATTACCGGGTTTTTTTATTGCCCAAGCAGGCAGACCGGCATACGGCCCACCTGATGGTAAGTGGTTACCATTGCTCATGGACGTCAGCAATGCCAGGGGCACAGCCAAGCTACTGCATACCACTTTTTTTTTATTTCTTTTTTTCCCTACCTATGCTGATAGCCTTGAGAGGCTATTTCAGCTTCACCCTAACGTTTGTAGGTGAGCTCGCGGAGCTCAACCGGAGAGTTGCTAACACTGACCCTAGCAAGAGCAGTGCTTCGCAGAATCTACCACCTGATCGGAAACGCGACCCACTGAGAAGATCCGGCGAGAAACCCAGTGGGCTGTGTCTATGGGTTAGTTCGCTCGTCGAGCCCTTCGTCGCAAGCGACGGGTTCGACGAGGACGGTGACCGGTGCTTGTGGTGCCTAAAAGCACCGTTAATGGATCAGGAGGATCCGTAACGACGTGCTTTGGGTGACGTCGACGGTTTACCATTCGGTCTACTGGGTCGGGTATGTAATTTCCAGCGGCTACGATGAGAGGGTTCTCATGTCGTGCCGCCTTCTCAAAATGGCGCAGCGATGCCGACTGCAGATACTTACTAACTGAATCGAGCTCCAGGTCATCGTGGAGATCCACGTTCCTAAGGAACCAAGGCGCTCCGACGGCTATCCTGCAGAATCGTGATTGAATAACCTGAAGGGATTTCAAGTTGGTGCGGGCTGCGTGAGCGAACACTACGCTTGCATACGTCATGACGGGGCGTATACAAGTTTTGTAGAGAGTTACCTTATTACGGAGGGACAGNTTTTTTATGATTGAAGGATTACTTGTGGCCCGGAGGCCTTTCCAGTTTCACCAGGACAGGTGGGCGAGCAAAGGCTCAGCCAGGAGGGGTGGGATTTGCTAGCAGCTACCCGAGCGCCTCCGAAGGAGACCTAACAGCTCAAGAGCAGCTGCTTCGCGAATGAATCTACTACCGGATCGGAATCGCGACCCGCTGAGAAGATCCGGCGAGAAACTCAGCGAGCTGATTCATGGGTTAGGTTGCACGGCGAACTCTTTGTCGAGTTCGACGAGTACGGTTACCGGGGTCCCTAAGCCTGCTCCTAGTGTTAGAGCTGAAGGCGTCTAATGCAAAGGTTATTGGATCTGATGGATCCGTAAGGACGTCTCTAGGGCGTCGACGGTGACAAGGAAAACCAAGAACTAACCACTACCATAGTGTACAGTAAAACCTCCTTATTCGCGCTTCCTTCATTCGTGTTTTCACTATTACCGGGTTTTTTTATTGCCCAAGCAGGCAGACCGGCATACGGCCCACCTGATGGTAAGTGGTTACCATTGCTCATGGACGTCAGCAATGCCAGGGGCACAGCCAAGCTACTGCATACCACTTTTTTTTTATTTCTTTTTTTCCCTACCTATGCTGATAGCCTTGAGAGGCTATTTCAGCTTCACCCTAACGTTTGTAGGTGAGCTCGCGGAGCTCAACCGGAGAGTTGCTAACACTGACCCTAGCAAGAGCAGTGCTTCGCAGAATCTACCACCTGATCGGAAACGCGACCCACTGAGAAGATCCGGCGAGAAACCCAGTGGGCTGTGTCTATGGGTTAGTTCGCTCGTCGAGCCCTTCGTCGCAAGCGACGGGTTCGACGAGGACGGTGACCGGTGCTTGTGGTGCCTAAAAGCACCGTTAATGGATCAGGAGGATCCGTAACGACGTGCTTTGGGTGACGTCGACGGTTTACCATTCGGTCTACTGGGTCGGGTATGTAATTTCCAGCGGCTACGATGAGAGGGTTCTCATGTCGTGCCGCCTTCTCAAAATGGCGCAGCGATGCCGACTGCAGATACTTACTAACTGAATCGAGCTCCAGGTCATCGTGGAGATCCACGTTCCTAAGGAACCAAGGCGCTCCGACGGCTATCCTGCAGAATCGGGATTGAATAACCTGAAGGGATTTCAAGTGGGTGCGGGCTGCGTGAGCGAACACTACGCTTGCATACGTCATGACGGGGCGTATACAAGTTTTGTAGAGAGTTACCTTATTGCGGAGGGACAGTTTGCTTCGACTACAAAGCATTGGATAGAGTCGTCCTAGGATAAACGCGGCGCGGTCGCGTACCGTTTTTATATGGGGACGGAATGTCATCCCTCTGTCGAGGGTGACGCCTAGATATTTGACCTTCGAGACCCACGGTATGGGCTGGCCAAAGAGAGTGATGGGACTAACGGCGGAGGTGTTTGCGCGCCTACTACGGAGTGGGATGCTCGAAGTGATGTTCGGAGGGCGACCCCTTTTGAAGAGCACCGCTGCGCTTTTCGTGGGGTTGATGTCAATTCGCCACTTCCGGAACCACTGTCCCATGGTGGCTACTGCGATCTGGAGTCGCTGATGAAGCAGCGACATCTTCCTACACGAGTAGTAGATAGCCGTGTCATCGGCGAAGAGCGCTAGATGGGTCTCCGGAGACCGGGGTATATCATTCATACCACTTAATACTCTCTACAAGCTTCGGATTATATAAATGCGACCCAATTCTTATATTTGCGGCTAAATATTTCTTTATTCGCGGATCGAATCGGTACATACACATTGATAAAAAGGAGCCCAATATATAGGTATCCAACCGAACATCCTTTGTAAGCGCTTCGTCAAATGGACTAATAAAAAAGTAAAATAGACCTTACTACAGCTATGCCTAAAGAATGTTGTTAAATGATATCGCCGCTGTATTGCTTTCGCCTTTGACAAGCTGCCTTCGCCGCGCCATCATGTATATAAATTACCATTCCATATTCATAGTTTCTGTATTCGTGGCACATTTACGGAACATCTACCCCGCGATTTATTTACTGTTCTTCATTTTTTGGAAATTTGTTTACAGTGCTGCACGTAATGTAACACGCTGGCGCGCGAAGTCAACTACCCCGTGTATAGCGGAATTGCGTCCGCTGTTTTAGCTTTACATTGCTCATGAAAATGAACACTCTAAAGCGATAAATATTTATATTCATATAATATATTATTATATTCACATCAAAATAAAGTTTAGCCTAGTAAAACTATAACACAAACTGAGTTGCTCTATAAAGAGAAACAACATTTAAAGCTATTGCTTCACCAGTTTTTATGTTTTTATATATTTCAATATTCAAAAATGTTGTAATATTTCTAATGTTTCGATATTCAAAATACCATTTATGTCACCTGTATATCATATAACCTCTTTTAAGATTTATGTCCTATATCATAATATAGAGGTTATATTCATTTAATCTCGCGTATCCCCTTCCGTCTTTAGTAACCGTTCCTCCTTCTTACTCTTAAATTTAACTTAAATAATTAAAATAATCTTGAAACGATCTCATTGTTGCAGGCGACAGCTTAGAAGAACTAAACGGTTATGGGACAATGCGACCGCGGAACATAATATCGTCGATCTTAAGCGGTACCCCGGCGAAGAACAAAGGACTCGCCATATCAAACCCACATGACTTTAGAATGGTGCGTACCGAGTGATATTAACAGTAGCCGGGGAGGAGGTAGGCAGAGAAAAAATTAAAGATGGATTAGGGACTTTTTGGCGGGTACGCGGCGAGGAGTGATGTTGTGTGATTTGTTTTATTTTGTCTATTTAGTGTTTCTTCAGGTTTAAATGTGTAATAACGGTGGTTTATTAACTGTTTGATGTCTGTGAAAGTGCACAAATTTGGGAAAATGAAACAAAGCCGCTGGACGTAACTACTCGGGATCCTCCAAAAGGTCCACCGAAAAAAATCTCAGTAAATGACCACCATTTTACTGAGATTATATTTCATCCCATATCATTTCATTTCACTCTATATTTATTTATTTATTATAAATGCACAAATCAAAACTTGTACACAGGCGGACTTAATGCCATGGGCATTCTTTTCCAGTCGACCATAGGGTGGTGCAGAGATAATGCATGGTAGGTGCAATAACAAAAGAATAACAAACAACAACAACAAAACAAAATCATATTATCATTTTTCATAAAAATAAGAATATAAAAATTTAAATAGGACATGACCTAAAGGTCTTAGTTACCAGGCCATAAATTCCCTTAAAAAAAAATGGATAGGGGAATAGTTATTCTATAAGCGAAGTATAAATATTAGTCGGCTTTAATAAGTGTAAAAGTTCAAAACGTGTATAAAGAACAAGGATTTGTTGTAAAGCTCATCAGACGTCTACCTGATTAGGGGTGCAATAACAGGGGGACATAGCAAATGGGGCTTATGATGAATGAATTTTAGGATCGCCTTTTTTATTTATTTTTTATTGCCCTTGTAGGCAGACGAGCATACGGCCCACCTGATGGTGAGTGGTTACCGTCTACCATGGACTTCAGCAATGCCAGGAGCAGAGCCAAGCCGCTGCCTATACCTCATGCGTCAACCCTATATAAAATAGTAAGAGTCACATTACATTTTCAGGTATCGGCTATAATCGACGTGGACATCGTCCCGGAGACCTGCAGGAGGGTGAAGCTGCTGAAACACGGCTCCGACAGGCCATTAGGTTTCTTCATTAGGTAATTCGTGTTTTTGTCATGTCATGTTCATTTCATTCAAGAAGCAAAATTATTATTACGTTATATTTAATAAGGAATTTGTGTATGTATATGTATGTGTATGTGTATATATATAAATTTCAATTGATTGGTACACCGAGTGAAATTAGTTTCCAAACGATTCTTTTCCACCTGGTGGTTGTCTGAAAGAGATCGCTCTTAGCGATAATACCGTCAAGTGTACTTTTTTACATATTTAATGTTTAACATTGTTTATTTTTGTACACAATAAAGCATAATCTTTCTTTCTCTCTCTCTTTTCTCTATTTCTCTCCCTCTCTCTTTTCTCTATTTCTCTCCCTCTCTCTTTCTCTATCTCTCTCCCTCTTTCTTTATCTCTTTCTCTCTCCCTGTCTCTTTTTCTTTTTTTAACCTAAATTACGAAATATTTATGAAAAGTTGCAATTTGTTAATGTGATTAAATCTTCTACCAGGGACGGTACATCAGTACGGGTCACACCGAACGGCGTGGAGCGTTCGCCCGGGATATTTATATCGCGACTAGTGCCAGGAGGTCTGGCGGAGTCCACGGGCCTCCTGGGGGTCAACGATGAAGTGTTGGAGGTCAACGGTATTGATGTCTCCAACAAAACACTTGATCAGGTAATAAGTCATTCGTTTAGTATTAGTATTCAACGGCTCATAGTATGGTAGGGATGAGCAGAGAGAAATCGATTATAATCGACCGGCTCATTTGATTGTTCTATCGTTAGACTCTCGCTCCCCGAGGGACCTTATACAGGGGGGAGACAGAGAAAAGAGAGAGATAGAGAGAGAGAGGGAGGGAGGAAGAGTATTCTTGTACACAAAATAAATAAACATTGCGAAACATTAAATGCAAAAAAAGTACAATTATATTGGCGGTCTTATCGCTAAAAGTGCCTGCTTTTCTGGTTCCCTAACATATTGCACTCATACTCATTCTGTTCTTATAGGTAACGGACATGATGGTAGCCAATTCTTCGAACCTGATTATAACAGTACGTCCCGCCAATCAACGCGCCGCGCCGCACGACGCTGCGGCACACGACGCCACGCCGCACGACGCCGCGGCACACGACGCGCACACGCCCCCCGCCGACCACGACGACGACAGGTGCGACCCGCTTGAGACATGAGGTCGCAGTCTCAACTGTATTGTGTAGCGGGTGTCCCGCACTTTGATGGATAGCAATTGTTATATTCGTTCATTAGTGGATATTTGTGAGCACGTGTTAAAGTACGTATTTCTTTAGGAACTTGCCGATTTTGATCCCTGATATAGTCGGGGATTGTTCGATATGCATACAGCGGATGTCTTATCCTTTAGGCCAGTGGTGCTCAAAGTTTTTTCGACTAAGGCCCTTTTAGTAGAGTGAATTTTTTTACACTTTTGTTAGCCCGCTGAGTTTCTCGCCGGATCTTCTCAGTGGGTCGCGATTCCGATCCGGTAGTAGATTCATTCGCGAAGCAATTGCTCTTGAGTTGTTAGGTCTCCTTCGGAGGCGCTCGGGCAGTTGTTAGCAAATCCCACCCCTTCTGGCTGAGCCTTTGCTCGCCCACCTGTCCTGGTGAAGCTGGAAAGGCTTCCGGGCCACCAGTAATCTTTCAATAATAAAAAAAAAGATTTTTTTGTCAACGCTCTTTATAGAGAAGGAGCGGTGTATTACAAGTTGCTAAATCGATAGAAAAAAATATAATTCATTAAATGGTGACCCCCCAATAACCGTTTCACGGCCCCCACAAGGGTCGCGACCCCTAATTTTCGTTTCACTGCTTCAGGCCATGACGGCTTAAAATTTTGTACTTTTTTTTTTTTGTTGAATTCCTGTTTAAATGGCACAGTTATATTATATTGCTCGCTCACCTCACGCCGTCGGCCATGACGGGACTGAAGCCCAAATCTCGTGAAACACTTTGTCAATCTGACCTTTATATATGCTGCGACATCCGATCCACTTGCAAGCTTTCAAGCATATGAAGGATTGTGACAAATATAATAATTTTATTATTTAGACCTTAAAAAAATGACGTTTTATATTCACTTCGCTATTAAAGTGTATTGCATTTTTTTTATTGCATAGATGGGTGGAGGAGCTCACAGCCCACCTGGTGTTAAGTAGTTACTGGAGCCCATAGACATATACAACGTAAATGCGCCACCCACCTCGAGATATGAGTTTAAGGTCTCAGTATAGTTACAACGGCTGTCCCACCCTTCAAACTGCATTACTGCTTGACGGCAGAAATAGGCAGGGCGGTGGTACCTACCCGTGCGGACTCGCAAGAGATCCTACTACCACCTGTATTTTAATAAAGACAAACAATGTTTAATTTATTCACAGTTTGATTCACAATTTGATTTAATGTATTTTTTTAATGCATAATTTAAAAAAAAAAAAACATTCTGCACTCCTCTATATTCTCTATAAGTGTGGGAAATTTCACACTCCTCCGTCTACGTAATTGTTTTTGCTTCACGTATTTAATATATAGATTGCATTATTATTTTTTGGGAACTTTGTGAATAATCATGAAAACTCTTACCCAGGTTCGATCAAGACGAGCAAGACGAGATCGTCGATCTGACCGCGGTGACGCTGGAGGAGTACCCGGAGGGCGGCGCGCGCGGCCCGGCCCGCGACGACGGACACGTGCTGCACCTCTAGCGCGTCCGCCGCCGCACTGGGACACGACCGCGGGATAGAGAACGTTCTGATGACGTAAGAAATTTTTCAAGCCGTCATGACCGAGTCACGGGAACCCTCATACACATATAGAAGAACATTATCAGAATTTTAGTGAGGCAGTCAAATTTGTTTAGATTTTTAGTTGAAACATTTGTTGAGCCTCTATATCGGGCAAGGATTAATAAGACACGTGTTCAGTTAAGTGACTTAACGTATTTGGGATTACAACCTAACGTGCTATCGACAGCCCGACAATCCCGAGACTGGCATAGCATCATTGCAGTATAATTACCGCTAACACATGCATATAAATATTAGTAGCTATGAGGACATTTGTGGTCCCTACACATTTAAAAAAAAAAGTGAGGGATACGTGATGCTTCCGTAAATAGATAAACGGAACATATGGCTCTGATAAAGTTTGATTTTAACGTTAAAACTCTTATCTCTGTACTAAATCGATATTTGTATTATACCGGTAAGTTTGTATTGTTTCTCTATCCCCGAAACTAAACTCTGTTCCATACGAAACAAGTGTCAAATTCCTAAAAAACATTCCACTTAGGATACGAGTGTGTTAAATTTTAATGGTGCGTATATTTTCCATGTGAAAATTGTAAAAGACAATAATTATTAGGGGAGGTCTTATAGCTTGTGTACTTAATCATTCCGTTGTATGCCTTATATCGTAAGTGATAAGTGTCAAATTAGATAAAACTTAGTTGTCACAATTATTTAGAAGCAATAATACGTTATTGTTTAAGTTTTTTTTTATTATTATTATTATTATTAAAAACATTTATGAAATAGAAAAAGTATATTATTATAAGTTGGATATGTTAATTGAGTGAACGAATGGATTTTTTGTCATTCTATATATAACATTCGCCATTCACTCCCAGCGAATGTTTATGTTTTTGATTGACCAGTAGGATTCATAGATTATAGACCCGAGAGATCACGGTTTAGAAACTAGGCAAGTTTCTAATTATTCTGAAATCGATTAAGTAAAGTATACTCACGAACGATCAAGGTGGCCTGGGCGATGGCACGAGCAATGAAAAGTACTCCAGGCCTATTTTCGGCCTAGTAAGTTAAGATTTTCACATATCAAATGTTCAATTGGCATGGAATATAATAATGAATTAATATCATTGTTAAATGGTGCTTAAAAACACTTCGAAAATGTCCAAGTCATAAAATATAAAGCTAACTATATATTGTTGTCATAAAAAATTAATAACAAAAAAGATTAAAAATTCTTGCTACGCGCTTGAGGTATTATTTTGAATTATAAATTTTCAAATCAAAAATATCGATAATAATGTTTAAATATATTTAAATAGTATTAAACATAAGTGCCTTTATGACAATATGTTTTCCATTATTACAAATAACATTCCATTGTAACTAATTTTAAAAAAAATATTAGTGAAACACTATTTGTTCATTTTATTACAACGTCAATTATGTTCCTGATTAATCAAATTGAAAATTTTCAAAGACGACGACCTATTTAATAATAAAATGAAAATAAACTAAAAATATATTCAACAAACAACAAGAAGTAAATAAAAAATGCATTTCAATATCGCTAGTCTATTGTTGTTCCTGACGTTTGGAGAAATTGATTTTGTCTATGGTCTATCGTTGAAAATATCGCACATATTATGGTGCTTTAATATTAAAGTCACTTATGCAAAACATTTTTAACAGTGAACTGATTATAAGAAAATACCTTTTTTAGTTATTAGTTATACCTAGTGAGACGAAAGAGATGTTTGCTTTTACTGATGAAGTTTGTAGTTTAAATATTATCATTTTATTTCTATAGCCTAGAAGAACTATATAAGAATTATTTAATAAGATGTTGAATTTTCCAACGTGTCTCCTAAAAAATTACATAATTTGCATAAGTGACGTTATCGGACCGTATGTGCGATATATCAATTAATATTAATATAACAAGGACATAATATATCGAAGGGTGAAAATGTATTTGGCTTAAGCAACATTTTTGCAACTTTACAGGAGAGCCTTTACAGGTTGAAAAATTAAAAAAAAAATTCTTGACAAAAAAACTTTTTTAGCTATTTGAATGGAGAACACTTTATTGAAGTTCAATTAAAAACATCGAATTGTCGATGCGAATGCCAAATAAAACTTTTAATTATGTACAGAGATTTATTATTATTATATCGGGTATTAACCGAGATGTCGCTTAAACCAAAAAGCCTTTCACCCCTTCAAAGATATCTTGATCAGCGTTGAACAACGGCGTATTAGAAGTATTGAATTATTTCATACTTGATTCACGAGGTAATTGTCAGTGATAATCGAATTGGCTATGAGATATTTTTATGGTGATGGAAAACAGAATTGAAAATCATTGAAAATATATAATTTTCTATTATACAAGGATATCCTGTTTTTTTTTCGGTGTTTGGCAACGGAATCTAACATATCGTCTATCATATCCGAATTATTGGAACTGAAATATTTTTTATTAGCAATCTCCTAAATACAATGTAATATTAAACTTTTCCGTCTATATATAAATGATTCCATTATTATTAAATTAAATAAATTAAATTAAGTAAAAAAAAAAAAGAAAAAAAAAAACTTATTTATCGCGAATCCATCCATTTTGTGTTTAATGAATTTTAGTACTTGAGTATATTGTATGGGAATCGAAATTGAACCACATATCTTGCAACTGACCGCTAAACTAACGTGGCAATCAATCACAATTAAATTTGATCTAAGAGTTTAAAAAATTAAAATTAATTGAATATACTTACTATATTTTTATTAATGTTTTCCGATTTGTAATTATTACTCACGCGAGAATAAATTATTTCGAGCTTAACATAGATCACTTTAGATAACGTTATTTTAGTGTTTAGATCTTTATATTGTAACATATATACACCAGTAGTATTAAAAGAATTTTGGACCTAATTAATATAGATTGGTATGTATACAGTATTATAAACATTTTTTTCTAGATTTTGTTACTTAAGGGTAAAAAGAAATTTATGATGTTTGATTTTTTACTGTAATTTTTTATATATATAAAAAAAATCATGCTCATTCAGTGTACACAGAAAGTATTTCAGAACCTAAAGTATTTCTAATGTATTCTTTTATAAAACTATTCAAATTGAAAACATTTTTTATTTATTAAACTGAGATGTCGATTCACGCATCCCTGTGCCTCTCGTTAAATTTAAAATTCTCATTCGTTTAGAAGTTCCCCGAAGTGCCAAGAACTGCTATAACTCAAGTTATAGCAGTTCTTGGCACTTATACATCAATGTAATAAAATGTCCACGAATGCATACAATACGAACGAATACAAAAATAAAATTAATTTAAATCAAATTACATAAAGAATAAACGAAACAAGTTATTGAATAAAAATGTAGACACACTGTTATCGTTCATAATTACGCGCTTCTTCCAGCCATTTGGCATTCTGCCAGTGACCAAATTTTAACAAGAATTATCGGAATAAATAAATAAAAATCCTCAAAAAAAAAAAACGTTTCAGTGAAATAGGTATATCAGTACTTAATAGTTCAATCATGCGATTACTTGATCTACGAGTAATTAACCGCTGACATTATTGATTCATAGATATATCTGCATTTCCTAACGCATCCGCTTAAAAAAACAAGAGAGTTATCGCAATGTATCTGTCAAATTGACTTTGCCAAGGAACGCTCATGCTTAATTTGGAAACCACCCATTTTGATTGTTACGTTTGGAGCACATTACGGAATATGGAGGCTTGAAATAAGGACCACACTGTAAAAAAAATTGTATATCGTAGAGCGGCAAATTAGGATGGCGCCACCGTCGTAAGTGGTGTAATTTAAAAGATAACGCCGAAAGTTTCAATAATACATATCGACGCTTGAAAGGCAAACGTGACTAAGCGACAATAACTGCTTTGTACATAAATGATAGGCAATAACCATATTCGATGCACAAAAAATATATATTTCTAGGTCTATTAAAATCATTTCAATCTTACAGCTAGATTCGTTAAAATAGTTTTTTTTTCAGGTATTCCTCCTGTATATTTTAAATTAATTTCAACTTTAAATTATTCTACTCTAAAGTTCACGCATTGTCGCTTAGTCACGTTTGCCTTTCAAGCGTCGATATTTTAACTCTTAACTTCACTTCGTAGGTTTCCAGTTGGAATTTGCTGCAAAAAGCTTGGCAGTTTTTCAACTTCTTCCCCACATAAGAGACCTTATCTTGGCGAGCCTCAAATCATTTACATTACCTACTCGAACTTGAGACGAATGATGAATTAAAATAGTTCCATTTTTTATATCAAGAGTAAATCGATATTTTATTTCTTTATTTTTTTATATTATATATTTCTTTATTTTTGTATATGCTTATGCTTAATTTGGAAACTACTCATTTTGATTGTTACGTTTGGAGCACATTACAGAATATGGAGAATTGAAATAAGGACCATACTCTGTATTCAGAAACAATACATATTGTAGTTTTGGATAAAACACCTTTGGCTAATGATGGTTGCCATCGACGAAAGCGCCATCTACAAATTCAATAAACGTCATACGTCAAACCACATTGACAGCAAAACGTCATTCTGTCATTTACTTCTCTTCATTGACTTCATTCATATTATTCATAACTTTCGAACGTAACGAACTAACAGCCTCTTTTTGTAAAATCGAGGGTATACGTAATAATACACCTTTATTGTAAAAAATCGAAAATATACGAAATTATACAGTAAAACGAATTTGGAATTCTCCTTTTGGATATCCTCCGTTCCTGCGTCTACATTTGTTCCTACGAGACGGATTGATTAGAAGAATTGTCAACCAGCGAAGCGGATTATACGGCAGAATATTCGTCTGCGATCTGCATATATACGGGACTTGGATTTTTGACGACAAGATTACGAGACCTACAGCGAGACTACGAGACCTACGACACTCGACGNCGAAGACCACACTTTGGAAGAAGCTGGTTCTTCCAAGGCCGGCGGTATATTCAGAAACAATACATATTGTAGTTTTGGATAAAACACCTTTGGCTAATGATGGTTGCCATCGACGAAAGCGCCATCTACAAATTCAATAAACGTCATACGTCAAACCACATTGACAGCAAAACGTCATTCTGTCATTTACTTCTCTTCATTGACTTCATTCATATTATTCATAACTTTCGAACGCAACGAACTAACAGCCTCTTTTTGTAAAATCGAGGGTATACGTAATAATACACCTTTATTGTAAAAAATTGAAAATATACGAAATTATACAGTAAAACGAATTTGGAATTCTCCTTTTGGATATCCTCCGTTCCTGCGTCTACACTCTGTAAAAAAATGGTATATAGTAAAGCGGCAAATTAGGATAGCGCCACCGTCGCAAGTGGTGTAATTTCAAAGATAACGCCGAAAGTTTCAATAATACATATTTTAACCCTTAACTTCACTTCGTCGGTTTCCAGTTGGAATTTGCTGCAAAAAGCTTGGCAGTTTTTCAACTTCTTCCCCACATAAGAGACCTTATCTCTACCCACCATATTGGCGAGCTTCAAGTCATTTACATTACCTACACGAACTCGAGACGAATGATGGATTAAAATAGTTTATGAGCCTTTAAACCGTAGTATTTTTGTCTTTAGTACATCATTGCTTTTAAAACGTCTTTCAACCCATTTTTACGGACCCATTTTTTGATATCAAGAGCATTGCAACTGTAAATCGATGTTTTAAAATATTGTCATGTTTTGCAATATTATATGAATATTAATTCCTTTACTTTCATCTGCTGGTTGGCTCAAAACGCGACGACCCAAACATTGATTGTATAGTCAAAAATGTATTTAATTTCATATGTTAGTCTATGTTATCTTGTAACTATGGAATATACATATTTAAAAGAAATGTTTGTTTTATTTTTATCACACCATTGTTGGTGTCAGTGATGGTGAGTACTAGGGATGACCAAGGAGTGGACTGTATTTAAATATATATGTCGGCGCAACGTCATTATTTAGTTAACTAAAAATAGTTAATGTTAACTGTTTCCTTAGTGTTACGCACGTCAAAAACTGCTTAAGACGGTATTCAAGAGAATTCATTACTAAGCTACCCCCTACTTTCTACTATAAATACGAGTGACTATTGTCGCACAAAACCGGTTTGAGCCCTGTGAGCTCACCTACTAATTCGGTGAATCTCCATCGCGCTACTAGAATAGGAAAAAAACACACAAAACATTCCGGCTCGAGCAATCGAACGGAGCGGAGCTCTCTGCTGTTATCATTGTACACTTAGAATGTAATAAATGGAATTCATAGAAAAAGTTATTTTTGATTACTGTCACTATGGAAGGCATTGATAATGATGAAGAAAATGGCGTCGCAACGCTGACGTCATAATTTAAAAAAAACCACGGAACTGGCCTGCTCCGTCATATATATAATAAGTTATGTTGCTCATTTCTACCTTAAGATGTGTACTTATTTTTGTACAAAGGCTTTTCTCTTCAATAAAATGACGCCTTTTCGAGGGCATATCCCACCCGTATCATGAGTTTTGGTGGTAGGTCAACTTGTGAACCTTACCTAGTTTCTGTTTGAGGGCTTGGGCAGCCGTTGTACTATTTAACTGTCACTTAGAACTCATGTCTCGAAATGCGTGGCGATATATTTTAACTTTGATAATGTCTATGAGCGAGGTGATCAGTAACACTAGGTGGGTCCTTCGCTCGAACTAAGCAATTTTCAATTATTTTCTGAGTTTGAATTTGAAAGCAAATTTAAATTATTTTCTGAATTTGAAAATAATTTAAAATTGCTTAGTTCGGGTACATTTAGGTGCCGCTATTTGACCTATCAGTAGAAGCAGTCATGCGTTAAAGATTTCAATGATGAAGTAGGCGTTGGTGATGCCACTTGAAATTCCACTTTTTCTTTTATTGCTTAGATGGTTGGACGAGCTCACAGCCCACCTGGTGCTAAGTGGTTACTGGAGCCCATAAACATCCACAACGTAAGTAAATGCGCCTCCCACCTTGAGATATAAGTTCTAAGGTCTCAAGTATAGTTAAAACGGCTGCCCCACCCTTCAAACCGAAACGCATTACAGGTTCACGGCAGAAATAGGCAGGGTGGTGGTACCCACCCGCGCGGACTCATAAGAGGTCCTACCACCAGTACAATCACTTCGCGGTTCAAGGAAACCATGTTGAGATGTCTATGGACTCAGGTAACTGCATCACGCTAGGAAATCCGTGAGCACTTGGTGCAATAAAAACAATCGTCTTTCGAGTAAAAAATCTCATCCCAACACGTGTTTGAAATAGTATTGAAATAAAAAAAGTTATATTAACATACGCAATATATCCACAAGAAATATATATTTGAAAATATACCGAATCCAACGCGTCCTTGTCATTCTAGTAATTGTAGGTGGCGGTCGTTAGCTCAGACGCGCGACTCTGATTTTTATCGCTTATAATATAGAGAATACAATCGAATAACGTGAAATGGCGGAACAGTGTTTTGGTAAATATCATGAAATATATAAAAATATATAGGTACGAGGTCTACGATTCGTTAATTTCCCAAAGATCAAACGAAACTATTTGCAGACTCGATCGAGTAGTGGATGTTAATTGAATGCCGAATGTGATGGTATAAAGATAAAAAAGTATGCACACGTCTTATTTGTGACAACGACAGAAACTGTGCTGTAGGCCGAGAATAGCTTTACTCCATTTATTCCCTAAGATGTAAACCTCCCGATCCAGTATCGGTGCTTCTAAGCATTCCAAGCACCGGTCACAGTTCCCGTCGAAGCCGCCGAATGCGACAAAAGGTTCGGCGAGTAAATTAAGCCACAGATACAGTCCACTGAGTTTCTTGTCGGATCTTCCCATAGGTTCGCGATTTAACATATTCGCCAGGCTCAGCGTCGTGACCTGGCCTAAGCCTTTCCTATTCTAACCCCTCGAGATTACTAACAATAGGTAGGCAAACACATAATGGATGTAAATGTCGACTAAGACTTTTTTTTTTCCTACCTAAGCTAATAGCCTTGAGAGGCTACTTCAGCGTAACCTTAACTAGTAGGTGAGCTCACGGGGCTCAAACTTGACGACGTTACTAACACGAACCCTAGCAAGAGCCGTGCTTCGCAGAATCTACCACCGGATCGGAAACGCGACCCACTGAGAAGATCCGGCGAGAAACTCAGTGGGCTGTGTCTGTGGGTTAATTTACTCGTCGAGCCCGTCGCTTACGACGAAGACGGGTCCGAACTGAACGATGATCGGTTACAGATTCACCGGAGGATGGGCGACAGTGTTCTCAGAGTATTACAGAGTACCAGCGCACCATGATCGTCAACATTTATCAAGGCTAGGGCATACTGCAATGCACACAATGCTTCCTATATCTGTCGCGAAGCAGCATGCGTTTCGGTACGAAGGTCGGGACGGCCGGCAGTTGAGGCTTCGACCACTTCAATGAATCAACTTCATGTCCCGAGGTGGATAGCTGCACGTTGTGATGTTTACGAGATTCGGTAACCATTTTACGGATTAAGCAGTGAACTCGTTCACCTTCAGTTAAAAAAATATCTTGCTTTACATTTTTATTCTATTTAGCTTGCAATATTTGTGTGAAAATTAACGAGAACAGGTATGGTCACGTAACTTGAACATTCTTCAAACGAGGCTTGGGAGAGCATTAAGCGATAGGGAGGGGCTTGGCTCTGCACCTAGCATTGCTGAATTCCATGGGCGGCGGTAACCACTCACCATCAGGTGGGCCGTATGCTCGTCTGCCTACAAGGGCAATAAAAACAAAAAAAAAAATGATACAAAATTCTAAGAAAAAAAAAATGCTTTTTCATGAAATAAATTGAAAACAATAAATCATACGGTGTTTATATCTTATAAATTTTACTATAATAAGTTTCATAAAATTTATAGTATGCCTATCTTTGTAACGTATGTATTGTATTTAGTCTGTTCGTATTTTTTATGTTCGTTCAATTTCAAAAGATGTCGGCCCAAAAAAAAAAAAAACGATCGTAAAAATCCAAAAAAGTTTGATGCGCATTTAATTGTGCGTCAGCTTCCTTATTACTGCAACGATATTTTGTTCTTGTATCTTGTTCTGTATTTTAGTTTTCTGTGTTTACAGAATACGCTAAAAGCGTCATTATGACGTCATTTATAAAATTAGTTGAACATCGAAACGCCTTGGAACATTTATCACAATGTCAAATAAACGTAAAATAGGTTATGTCCAATTTCATTTCCTTGAATCTATAAATTTTTCAGGCTCTTTCTTATATTTGTTATGAACCGTTAAAGCGTATTTCACGTGTATACTTATAACAATTATAACAAACAAATGGTTGAATATTAAAAGTCTCCAGAAATAAACATTGCGTTCCAGTTTATCTTGCTGTGCCAAACTTTTCCCGCCTTTACCACGGTCAGTCAACACGCGGAGATCGCACGCTAAACCGGCCAGTGTTCGATAAAAAAAACTTTTTTAAATCAGTGATAATCAAACACACAGCCATGGCAGACGATGAATACCAACACATAGTGACTAGAGTAGAAGCAATAACGGAACAAGATGATAGGCATTTAGCTGGTGCAACGAAAGAAATAAGAAATGATTTAACCGTTATTATACCAGAAAATCCGTTTCCAGATATCGAAGTCGATGCGTATCCACCTCTCAAGTTTTCATGGGTCATTCCCAAAAAAATTTCGGCTATGGCCTTTCCTAGGAACAAGGAGAATTTAAAATTCTTAGTAAATCAAGGAATAACGCATTTGGTGACATTAACAGCTGGAAAAAAACCTCCTGTAGATGATATTCCTAGACTGAAGTGGACAGAAGTACCTATTGAAGAGTTCGAGTTGCCGTCAGTTGAACAAATTAAGAAGTTCATGGATGTATGCAAAAGGGCTGATAAAAATGGAGAGGTGAAAATGCTTTTAATCACATTTTAATGTTCAATTAATGTTGACTTAGCCGTATGTTGTTCTTCTGAGCCATTACGAGAGTAACTATGTATATTAATTAGTAGAAAAAACATTAATACAAACCAACGTTTAGTCAGTGTATACTTTATAGAAAAACTATCTTTACTAGTTCGATAAACACTGCTTACAAATATCACGACAATTCTGTGAATATTCACAATTTAATATTGATTTATGTTTACGTCCACTTCAGGCGCTTTTACTTATTTATTTTAATGAAATTTAATTGTTGGAAATGTTAAAAATAGTGCAAAAAATTCATCGTTTGAATACTTGACTTTCTATCCCCAAAACTAAAAAATCCTTAACGTAAACTAATTAAAGAAACATGGTCAGAATGTTTACAGAACTACCTCGTATATCAAAGTAAGCTGAAGAAAATCTTTTTCGGTACAGGTATTGGGGATCCATTGCCGGCAGGGTCGGAGCAGGTCCGGCGTGATGCTGGCTTGCTACTTGGTACACTTCCACCGTTTCCTACCAGATCAAGCTGTTAATGCTATCAGAATGATAAGACCTGGTCAGTTTTTTTTATTTTTTTATTGCATAGATGAGTGGACGAACTCAAACCCACCTGGCGTTAAGCGGTTATCGGAGCCCATAGACATCCACAACGTAAATGCCGCCACACACCCTGAGATATGAGTTCTAAGGTCTTAGTTTAATTACAACGGCTGTCCCATCCTTCAATCCGAAACGCATAGAAATAGGCAGGATGGTGGTACCTACCCGTGCGGACTCACAGAGGTTCTACCACCAGCAATTACGCAAATTATAATTTGAGTTTGATTTTTATTACACGATGTTATTCCTTCACCGTGAAAGTCAATCGTGAACATTTGTTAAGTACGTATTTCATTAGAAACATTGGTACCCGCCTGGGATTCGAACACCGGTGTATCGCTCAGCACGAACCGGCCGTCTTATCCTTCAAGCCACGACGACTTCAAATTCTAAAAATATGTACTAATTACGATTAAGTATGTAACGACGGATCATTGTTTTTTTTCATTTTAAGATTGTCAACATAATGACAATAATTAATTGGACTCTTTAATGTGGAGAAGAAACCCTTTGCCAAACTATCCCCGAATTATACTTTTGCCTTTTAGTACTTAGTATTTTTTTTATTTTGTTCTCCTTTTTAGGGTCATGTGACTTTCCTGAGCACGAGGAAGCTGTGGGTAAATATTTCGAGTATCTCACTGAGGACAACCCTCTAAAATTCGGCGTCGGTGGAGATGTCATGGAGGAGTTCATTGACGCCGCAAAAGAAGCCACGAAGAAAGTTCTTAATTAATGTTTTTGTTATCTGTGATCCAATGTACCTGATGAGATTGTCTTTTTGTTTTAATTAGGTATTATTAAACGAATACATACACAAACAATATATAAATTATTGATTTTTTTAACTCTGGTATTTCTAATTTTAGGTCTATTGTCAAAGAAAAACAATCAAGATGTCGGATAATACAAATCTGTTGTTCATTAAATTTGCTAATAAATTAGGCTATAAGCAAAGAGATTGTATTATGTTAATTGTTAGATATGCTGCAATATATTTAGTAAACTATTACGGTAGATACGTTAAAATTTAGCATCGCAGAAGTTATAACCAACAAGCCAACAGTTAATGGTGAGAGCTTTTGTGAATGTATTAAAGATCCTATGAAAAAAAATTCATATTTTTATCACTGTTGATTCTTAGCGTCATAGAGCTATGTCCTCCATTGCTATTTCGATTTTACGGATCAATGTCATGTCGCGCTTTCATTTATCTCACACTTACTCAAAGTCACAATTGGATTACGATACATAATATTGATATACGCTCCCATGACACTGTACTCTAAATACCCGCCACAGGTATTACCTGCCAATACATCGTGCCAATGTTTAGCTGTTGGCGCATTACCAATTCAAATGTCTCGATGCGATCTAAAACAGTAACGCAGACAGACTGGCGACGCGTAAGGTCGAGATATTGCTCCAAATTACATTTAATTTGATCATAATCCATAGAATTTTGATATTTTAAACGACAAGACGAAAGAAGCAACTTTTAAACGACTTTCACTGTTATTTACAGTTTGTATCTATGGTAGTTCTAACCTTCATTTTGAACATAGCTTAACAGCCCGATTTCTATACTAATATTATAAAGAGGAAAGATTTGTTTGTTTGTTTGTAGGCTCCAAGACTACTGAACCGATTTGAAAAATTATTTCACTGTTTGGAAGCTACACTATTCCCGAGTCTTTTTTGAAAAAAATTAGGGACCCTTACTAAAACTCCAATAATGTAACCCAAGGTGTAAAAAAATTACCTAAAATATTCTTTACATCGCGTGCCCTGCGAAAACTATAGATGATAGAATAAAATAATGTACTACGACTTTGTAGAACACATTATTATTTACAAAAAGTGTCGCGACAGCATATTATGTCTAACTATTATAGTGATGCCGCAATAAGTGTTCTTTTATTTAACAAAATAAAACAACGTCAAATATCGTTAACATTTTTCTCAAAAACCCGAGCGGAGCCGGGCGGGCCGCTAGTCGTTAAATAAATGTATTGTCTATGGTCTAAATATAAATGATTCTTGGATTACGGATGCTCTAAAAGTATTTATAATTGCATTATTCGTAGGAAGTGTAAGTATTAATGAGACACATTCGTTGCCAGTCAATCTGCATCGAGCAAAGCGCCGCAGTTTATGTTAGTATTGTTAGTCTCCTTCTAGTCAAGGAGGTTTGGTGTTTACAAAATAAATATGAGTACAGTTTCAAAACGGCCTAACGTTAAACTAGCAAAACTGTTTTACAAATATGCAGACGAATGTAAAAAAGAAGAAATAAAAACCGAAATGACGCAAGAAAAAAAGGAATATGAGTGTTATCCGCCATACAATTTTTCTTGGTTCGTTGAGAATAAAATAGCGGCAATGGGCTGGCCGCAAACCGTTGAAAATTTGAATTATTTAGTCGAGGTGGGAATTGATCATTTGATTACACTGTCCCCAGAGAAATTACCGCCCATCTTAGATTGTGAAAGAAAATTGAGGTGGTCCGAAATTAGAATTAAAGAGTTCGGTGCTCCATCTTTGAAGCAAATTTTGAAGTTTATTGCACTGTGCGAACGAGCGGAAATGAGAGGGGAGGTATGTACTAGTCACTTTATGAATACTTACGGAATTATCGATTCGATTCAAAGCTGCTTTTAAAATGATAGGATGTGGTCACGTGTATTGACATCAGTGTGCCTAATGCGAGTTTTTTACCGTTCTCGATAGCGTAAAAGTTAGCTCATATTTGTATGGAATGGGATCGTTTGCCTACGTTTGCCGCTAAGGGCGCTCTTCCAACTGCATACAAAATTGGGCTAACTTTTACGCTATAGAGAACGTTAAAAAACTCGTACTAAGCACACAGAAAACAGACGTAGTGTTGGCCTAGAATAGAATCAAGATACACCGCATCTTTTTTTTGTAATTATTTAATGCTTAGATGGGTGGACGAGCTCACAGCCCACCTGGTGTTAAATGGTTATCGGAACCCATAGACATCAACAATGTAAATGCCGCCACCCACCTTGAGATGTGAGTTCTAGTACAGTACCATGGCAGCCGTTGCCGGTTGTACCATAAAAACTAAGACTTAGAACTTATGTCTCAAAATAGGCGGTGACATTTGTATTGTTAAAAATGTTACTATTGGATCGTTTTTGACTTTACCTTTAATAATAGAGACATAGTAACGGATGTTGCTATATTTTTTCCATGAATGTAGCCATAATATTCTTAGGTATCTTTTTATAGTTGCAGTGTAGACCTCGGTAGCCCCTTTACCCAAACCGGGTTCTGACCTCGGCGGGGATCGGACGCTTGGGCCGGAGTACAGTGGAATCTTTTATTGGATAGGACCCTAAATACCATCCATGGGCGCGCGATCCGCTCCAAATATCTGCGGATTGACCAGTCCCACATACACCGCGGACCCCTAGGCACGTGGACCTCGCAGAAGGTTCGGATACCGGTCCAAAAGAAAAAGATTTTTGTATAGCTCACTTTTACTTTTGTTATGTATGGTTATAAATAGAGCTGAAGATTTTCTTTTATTCGTTTTTGTGGAGATCTTCAGAAAATAGGAGGACAGAGTTATAATTACTTAGGTACCTATGTTCTTTGTTATTTATCTATGGAAACGAGAATTGCAGGATTTTGCGGGTACACTTGAGTATACTAAAACTTAAGGAGTTGAAACAATTTTAATATCAGAATTATGATAGAAATTACTAAGGACTTCACTGATTATCAATCAACAATCGACCTACCTAATTAAAATAATATAAAAATCTATAGGTTTTAGGTGTCCATTGTCGGCATGGTCGTGGGCGCACGGGTACTATGCTGGCGTGCTATCTCGTTCACTTCAAGCGAATGGCGCCAGAACGAGCTATTCTCACGGTTAGATTGCAGAGACCAGGTATTAAATAACTTCAATAACATAAAAAATAAAGTTAAAACCATAATCGGGAGACGAACAGATAATTCTCGCGATCTATCTAGTGTCAAACTATTATCTGAACACGTATATCAGATACATTTAACTGTAGACAAAAAAAATCATACATTTTTCACATAATAATATAACACATGAAAAGCAATTAAATATTTTAAGCAAATGTATTTAATTATTTATATTTCTAATGTCGGGTAATGTACCTTTAATTTTTAAGGGTCATGTGAAACCTACGAGCAAGAAAAAGCAGTCTGTCACTACCATGACTGCGAGAGAGGCACTATAACAAAACCTGACTATCAGATGGTGGACAGCAAGCTTTATTTCGATTTTTCTATGAAATATATGTTTGATGATGACGAGACTCCAAAGCACGAGGGTAACCTGACCGACGAAACCACTGAGGAAACCAAAATAGTGTGCAAAGACCAAACCGTGAAGATTAAGCTACCCAAGAAAAAATCTAAGGCTATGGTTATCAATCATAAAATTTATTTTTAGCTTCACTTTTGGCTGTAAGGCTTAGTTGACCTTTGACTTTTTTTTCATTTTTAATTCCACAGACTAACTTACCGCCACCTTTTTTTTATTTGCTGTAAACGGTGAACGAGGCCTTTTGATTAATTCGAAATTTCGCCCGGCTCCGTTACTGATACGCTACGACATGCCCTTTTCGTGTATAATTCCGACAAAACGTTATTTCACAATTTATATTCGTTGGCAAGAAATTTCACACCGAATTTGTAGTATAGCACTGAAACACCGCAACGTGTTCTTTAATAGTGTTCGTATTCTTTAGTGTAAGCCGCGCCAATAAAACGGCATCGAAAATGGCGTCTATGTACCTGCACTGACAGATGGTAGGATCAAGAAATAAAAAGAAAGATAGAAAGAAAAAGTTGCTTATTGTAAAAAAATTTTTTAAACAAACAAATGAGAATGTACTTTACTTTACTTTGTGCCCTGGCAGAGGGGGAGGTGTCTCATCTGGGATGCAACTTGCGTACTGTATGCGCGCGAGTTCATGTCCATCGGGGCCAGAGGCGACGCGCGGGGACAGCTCGCCCCACCTTCGCCCGCCTCCCCGCATTTGTCTGACGTCGAGTGTTGTCCGTGACGGTTGTGACGCGCGCTCATCGATATCGAAAATTTACGCTAACGCTATTGTGTTATTTAACCATGACTACTCCGCTTCCAACAAGTTCAGATAGAAAAAAACCTACTGAAAAAATATACATTGTATACTGATTCCGACTCTGATCTGTCGGTTGTCTTTTCATTCGATAGTGATTGAATTGGAATTTAAAAAATATTTTTCTCTATTAGAAATAAACAAGTACATAATTACTTATCACATTTATTTTATTTTATAAATTGCAAAATTACCTTAAGTTACATTAAACCAAATTGACAGCTGTTGACGAAATCGGTAGTTATTATCGAATTTACCATAATTAATTAGGTCACAGCACTACCGCATTCCTCAGGATGGACATGAACTCGCGCGCCTACAGTAGACACTTTTGCTGCCAGTCACCTAAGTCGCACAACTCGAAAGTGAAAAAACTCGAACTCAACAACAAAGTCAGAACTGATATATTTTTTTGCATGCAGTACGCGCCGTTTGCGACTAAAGACAGCAATAGTTTAGAGTGAGAGCGCATGATCGCCGCCGCCATTTTAGATTCGTTTCTTTATTGGCGCGGCTTATAGTGACAGGCCGACCGTGCCTTCTCTCCGTAAATATCGCGCCATATCATTCACTTAGGGCAGGCCGCATTATGTAACATCTAATATATAAAATTCTCGTGTCACAGTTTTCGTTGCCATACTCCTCCGAAACGGCTTGACCGATTTTGATGAAATTTTTTGTGCTTATCCGGTATCTATGAGAATCGGCCAACATCTATTTTTCATCCCCCTAAATGTTAGGGGTAGTCCACCCCTAAATTTTATTTTTTATTTTTTAGACGAAATTTTTAATTTCTATTNGTGGTAGGACCTCTTGTGAGTCCGCGCGGGTAGGTACCACCACCCTGCCTATTTCTGCCGTGAAGCAGTAATGCGTTTCGGTTTGAAGGGTGGGGCAGCCGTTGTAACTATAATGAGATCTTAGAACTTATATCTCAAGGTGGGTGGCGCATTTACGTTGTAGATGTCCATGGGCTCCAGTAACCACTTTACACCAGGTGGGCTGGGAGCTCGTCAACCGACCTAAGCAATAAAAAAAAACTTGAAAATGTTGCTAGCGAAATTCAGGCATCTGTCAAATATCTTGTGCTCTATGCTGACTACCCGCCACAAAGTTATTAAGTTATTATAGCGTAACGAATACCTACGTGTCTCTTAACATTTTTACTGAAAATTATGACGATACGGTGTGTAGGCGTGCCTAATCACATACAGCATATCTACACAAAAAAAAAACAATTAAATCAGATTTTCTCGGACCGTCAAACCACAACACACAGTGAGATTGTAAATTGAAAAAAATTACGATGGAATTAGAGTGGCAAAACTTCCAATAGCAATCTGTGCATACTTCCAATCGATAACCTTGGTAAGGTTTAAGGGAGCGCTTTATACAACTGAACATTATCAGTGTTACGTCAACACAATTCAACACAAGTTGAAGTCGTCGTGGCCTAAAGGATAAGACGTTCGGTGCATTTGTATGTAGCGATGCACCATGTTCGAATCCCGCAGGCGGGTACCAATTTTTCTAATGAAATATGTACTTAACAAATGCTCACGATTGACTTCCACGGTGAAGGAATAGCATCGTGTAATAAAAATTAAAGCCGCAAAATTATAATTTGCGTAATTACTGGTGGTAGGACCTCTTGTGAGTCCAGGCGGTTGGGTACCACCGCCTTACCTATATCTGCCGTGAAGCAGTAATGCGTTTCGGTTTGAAGGGTGGGGCGGCCGTTGTAACTATACTGAGACTTTAGAACTTATATCTCAAGGTGGGTGGCGTATTTACGTTGTAGATGTCTATGGGCTCCAGTAACCACTTAACATCCGGTGGGCTGTGAACTCGTCCAATCCTCTAAGCAATAAAAAAAAACACAATTCAATTCAGAAGCATTACGCGAAAAATAACTTACTTCATATAAAGAAGAAAGTTACATTTCACGTTCCAAACTTAACGTATTGAAATGGTGTAGTACTCGTATATACTTGGAGCATCATATTTTTGCTTGCACCGAGAACTGGCAAACAATCAGTTTTTAATTTAAATGCAATTTTTTTATTTAATTTTTCAAAATCTGCATGGCTATTGAATTTTTTATTGAATCTCATACAATGATCAATTGTCTCGTGTTTGCCGGAACATATATATCTTAACAATGGAGAGGAAGAAGTGGCTGATTTATATTTTATCAGGATAAAACAAAAATACTTTTTATGTTTATTAAATATTCAACGTTTTGGCTTTATCGATTATAAAAACACGTAAGCTCTGACGTCACAATCTAATAAACAAACAGATTTCTTGTTTGTCCAGTCGTTTTTAAATGTGTATTTTATTTAGAAACCAATAAATATGATATTCGTATTACGTCATACAAACTTGAATTTAAGGGAGTAAATTAATTAATTTAATACCTATACCTAACTGGAATAGCCCCTCAGGATACTAGCGAATAAGTACAGAAAAATCTTTATACATATTATATTTCTTCTGTGCGTGTGTTTGTCACTGAACTCCTATACGGCTGGACCGATTTGAATGATTTTTTTTGTATGCGTTTGGGTGGCACGGTAACCCGGTAATTTCCTAGAAATAATTGATATGGCAAAACAACATTTGCCGGGTCAGCTAGTACCTATATAAATATGCATTTGAATTTTATTACTGATTTTTTTGTAAACATGTTACATTCGATTAATATACTATTAATTCTCAATTTCATTAAGTAACAAAGACATTATCAGTATCAATCAATATACTTTGTAATTTTAATTATAATAAAGAAGTTATTTGGCGTTGTTTCACGCACAGTTGGGCAACGAATCATCATTTCTTGCAGAGACTGATTAATTACTTCTAGTGGAGAGTAAGTAAATTGTTGGCTGACGTCTTTACGTTGGTAACTCACGCGGTTGCTGCGAGAATCCAGAGCTGCTGCGTCGCGTCGTACTGTATCGATCGCCGGATTATTTGTTATTCTTTTGATGGATGCATTGTCACTTTGACGTCTTCAGGTTCACTATAGTAATCACGCCATTAAATAACTATAAATCAATTTGCTGTCATGGTCGTCTAGGCGTTGAAAACAGACGTAATTCATAATTTTTTTAATGCTTAGTGGGGACGAGCTCACAGCCCACTTGGTGTTAAGTGGTTACTGAAGCCCATAGACATCTACAACGTAAATGCGCCACCCAGATATAAGTTCTAAGGTCTCAGTATAGTTACAACAGCTGCCCCGCCCTTCAAATCGCAACGCATTACTGCTTCACAGAAGATATAGGCAGGGCGGTGGTACCGTCTTAGATGGGTGGACGATCTCACAGCCCACCTGGTGTTAAATGGTTACTGGAGCCCATAGACATCTACAACCTAAATGCGCCACCCACCTTGAGACATAAGTTTTAAGGTCTCAGGTATAGTTACAACGGTTGCCCCACCATTCAAACCGAAACGCATTACTGCTTCACGGCAGAAATAGGGGGGGTTGTGGTACCTACCCGTGGGGACTCACGAGTGATCCTACCACCAGTAATTACGTACGTAATTCATGTAACTTTTAGATACCAAATGTTATAGTACTCTTATGTGTGCTTAGTTCGCCTACGTTTGCCGCTAAGGGCGCTGTTCCAACTGTTAAAAAAACTCACACTAAGCACACTGAGTGTTATTTGACGTCTTATGAGGTGATAAAAGAATGTTTTGGTGAAAACAAACCTTTAGCAATTACGTCACGCGCGAAGGTGTTTGGTAGAAGAAAAGGCGCACGGAAGGATAGCGTGAAAGGTGACCATATTGAACCAATGCTATAGACAGGATTAGATTGGATTTATAAGAAGTTCGAATACGGTATTATAGAGAATAAATAAAATTTCCAAAAATACTAGTTAGCGATTTTATTCAATTTACGTAATCCGGCTTGGTCTATTCATATGGCTATTTCATAACATAACTAGTTACTTCTAAGAAGGAACCCATAATTATAGATGATGGTTAAATAGATAAAAAAAAACTCTGGAACTTAAGTAAATCGGCAGTATATTACAGATATCAACAGATATTAACAACAGACTAGTGGTCCCTCTGTAGTCCAAATACGACTATAATTAATTGAAATTATAAGTTTGTACACTATTATGATTCTATTGTCAAAAACTATTACACTTCTATAATCACAGATTTCGCCAAGAGTACACTTTAGACAAATCTATATATTAATACGTGAAGCAAAAACTTTGTACCCCTTTTTAAGAAAATTGCGCGGACGGAGGAGTTTAAAATTTCCCACACATATAGGGAATATAGCGAAGAAGTGCCGAATGGTAATATTTTTTTTAATTATGCATTAATAATATATTAAATCAATAAAAAAACGTTACACACACTACCATATATTTGACACAGAGGCATATGAATACTCTATGTTTATTGTCAAACTTTTGTTGCTCTGTTAGTCTGTGATCAAATTGAGAATAGGTTAATATTGTTTATTTGTCTATAGTGTAGTAGTCTTGGCGAAATCTGTGATTATAGAAGTGTGATAGTGTTTGACAATAGAACCATAATAACGTTCAAACTTATAATGTTAATTAATTATAGTCGAATTTCGACTAATGCGGGACCACTAGTATTAATAAAGAAACATAATAATCGATCTATTCTCAATATGACCACAGACTGTAAAC